AGGAACCAGCTGATACGCTGTCACCCGGAGCACAGCTCCCCGGCCTGGCCCAGTGCCCTGCCACCCTCGCGTCATTGGAGCAGTCAGCGTCTCCCGGCCCTGGGCAAACAAGAGCTAATAATTATGCCATGACTTGCCCTCTGTCAGAAAATGGGGCCTCCCCAGGGACAGGGGAAGTGTGGATGCGTCTGACGCCAGCATTGGCTGGTTAGTGGGCTCCTGTTGTAGGCCAAAAGCCAAATGGGGAGAAATTGTCTCGAATAAATTGTACTCCATTTTGCTTATTTTGCTTTATACTCCATTTTGCTAGCTTTGAATTAGTAAGAAGAAATTGTTCTGAGTTTATTCTTTGCTGATTGTGTTAATGATTGTTCTTAGAAGAATAAAAGTTTTATGGCTGTAATCACTGCCTTATTTACTATTTGATATGTGAGTAACTGATAAGAGACAGCTGGGCCAGATAGTCAAGAGGGGAGTGGAGGAGTCAAGAGGCATCAACTTTCTTATCAGAATGGATGGCAAATCCATGACCCTAAAGCAAAGGCATGCACCCCAGGGATAAGATAAGGAGTTGAGCCAGAGGGATGAGGTAAAAAACAGCTGCGGATCCTCCTGGTAACAGCTCAAAATAATGCTGAGAACTACTAAGAACAACTTTGAATACCTCCATGAGTTCTTGTGGCATCTTAGAGATTAACACATTTATTTGGGCATAAGCTTTCAGGGGCTAAAACCCACTTCATCAGATGCATGGAGTGGAAAATACAGTAGGGAGGTATAAATACACAGCATATGAAAAGATGGGAGTTGCCTTCACTTGCCCCATAACCTCAGCCGTGCAGAACACAACGTCATCCACAGCCTCAGAAACAACTCTGACATCACAATCAAAAGGGCTGAGAAAGGAGGTGCTGTAATCATCATGAATAGGTCGGAATATGAACGAGAGGCTGCTAGACAGCTCTCTGACACCACATTCTACAGGCCATTACCCTCTAATCCCACTGAGTGTTACCAAAAGAAACGACACCATCTGCTCAAGAAACTTCCTGAAGAAGCACAGGAACAAATCTACACAGACACACCCTTAGAGCCCCAACCAGGGGTATTCTATCTGCTGCCCAAGATTAATAAACCTGGGAATCCTGAACACCCCATCATCTCAGGTACTGGCACACTGACAGCAGGATTGTCTGGCTATGTAGACTCTCTCCTCAGGCCCCATGCTACCAGCACTCCCAGCTATCTTCGAGACACCACTGGCTTCCTGAGGAAACTACAATCCTTTGGTGATCTTCCAGAAAACACCATCCTCGCCACTATGGATGTAGAAGCTCTCTACACCAACATTCCACACAAAGATGGACTACAAGCCATCAGGAACAGTATTCCTGATAATGTCATGGCAAACCTGGTGGCTGAACTTTGTGACTTTGTTCTCACCCACACTATTTCAGATTTGGGGACAATTTATACCTTCAAATCAGCTTTGGGTACCCCATGGCCCCACAGTATGCCAACATTTTTATGGCTGACTT